GCTGGTTCATTTGTGCTGCCAGACGCTCGTGGAGTGCAGTCAGCTTCTTTAGCCAGTAGGCGTGAACCATGTCGGGCCCTGGTGCTGTCCAACTCTTCATACTGGAGACCCTTTCTTGGATATCTGCCACTGTGATGGTTACTGGACCCTGTTCAGGGAGGTCGCAGTGGTCTGCCCTCAGATTCACTAGCCACTGAGCATTGCTGTTATGGGTTGCGTCCTTCTCCCATATGCTCTTCCAGTATTGCTCCGTCTCTCCGTCTCTCTCTCTCCGTCTCTCTCTCTCTCTCCCTCTCTATCTCTATCTATATATATATATACACACACACACACGTATATAGATATATATATAAATGAGAACCTTCTGGAACCTTCTTTTAAACTTCAGCATTTTGTTGTACTTGGATATACTCACTCTTTAGAAAATAAGTAAACTTAACTCTTTTCCTCTAAAACAGATTAATAAAAATGTATTACTAATTACATGTATGTACTCTGACTCGGACTTCTTGTTGGTTATCTGAATAACCACAGTTTTCTGTACACATTATGTGTTGCTAGCCGAATCAGTGGATGTCATGTGGTAGCCATCTAAAAAAAAAAAAAAAAAAAAGTGAAGTTATTCTGTGTTGTGTATTCAAAAAATAATAATAAAATACAACAGCAGATACAGTACTACACCAGGAATCTGTAGTTTTGTTAGCAGATAAAATAATTGTCTAAATAGAAATGTTTAAAAAAATGACATTTTGTATGTGTTGATGCGCCACCCATCTAATTATTATTTTCCCAGTTGGACTGCCTGATCAAAGTACAAGCACACCTAAAAACACACAGCCTTCACTTCATTTTTATATGGAAATTTAGTTGATTAATTTCCTTGATGGTTCTTTACCCCTTCCACGTCTCCAGTTCCCTAAAACTTGAAGTCCAATTGTTGGTGAGTTTCCAGCACTTGTGCTCTAAAAAAACAAATCATACAATATTAACAACAAGCAAATTAGTTGTGATTAACAAGAAAGGAAAGAAAAAAGGAACATGAAACCCATGACTAGGAAACCTGTTCTTACCGCTGTCCTACTTCTAGAGGGTTGTGACCATGCTGCTATTTCTGACCACACCTGATAAATGAAATGTCAAATGTTAGAACACTGAAATGGAAGTCACAAAAATTTGTTAAATTTGTTCTTATTGCCAAGCCAAACACTATAAGCAAACTATCTTATATTGTTTTTGTGTGGAATATGAGCATATGCACATAACTGTTATTTATTAAAGCATGGTTTGCTGTTGGCTACTTTTATCCTCAAGTCTGAGTAGCCATTTAAATGGGCTTACAGAGAAATCATGACATGGCACTCAAAGGTGGAAGTTTGACTTGACAAAGGATATTTATAAGGATTATTACAATTTATATTCCTTTTCTTAAAATTGGGCTCTACGTACCGTACGGTCCAGCAGTGTTCCAAACACCAAAATGAAGAAGCCCTTTTTTAAAAACAGAGAAACATTAGTTATCAAGGATTCAGTAATTAGAGATGCTACTATCGTGGTATACAGACAGGCAAAAAATGAATTTGTACCTGTAGCGAATTGAAGAATGCAAATGCAATATGGATTCCTTCATTTGTTGGATCAGCCAGAATTCCAGCTCCCAAACCCCAAGTTATGCCAAAAAATGGTGTGAGCACAGCCAAGGTCGTGGCAATAACCACTAAGACATGCCTTTCATCTGCTGTTGTTGTTCCAGCCGTTCTCCTTATAATTTTGTACAAAACCACAACCAGGATAATGAGGTTTATCACCACTATTGAAAGGGCAGGAATCACAAATGCCAGCAGAGCTTTGGACTTATCCCAGTTGAGCCAGCATATGGTATTTTCTTGGATGTAACCGTTGTCAGGTGCAGTTGCAGCTATAGTTACTGTTGCAATGATTAGAGGAGCCCCGTAGCCTAGAAAAAATCCAATGGCCAGCATAGATGCTTTAGACAAACCCCCAGCATCATTAGTTGTACGGTAGAGCAGCAGCATAGCTGAGGCCAGCATCCAGAAGAACAGGGCTAGGTAGAAAAATTGAATAAAAAAGGTAGCTGCAGTGCATGCTGGGGGGTTTTTAACTTCTGCATCTGAAATGGCTGCTCCAATTATAAACCAAATGTTTGCAACCAGGAGGGAAACGGTGATGTTAACAATGGCAACATGACGCAAGTAAGAGGGTTCATTGATTCTTATTTTTCTCCAAATGAGGCCTTCAATGATCAGACATATGACCAAGGATCCCATTGAAATGCCAACTCCAATGTAGGTTATAATGTCCAAATAGAGTTTCTTCGGACTGTTCGGTGACATTTGGATGGAGAATGAGGTCAGGTGGTTGCAGTTGCAGGTGACAGTTTCTGTTTCATTTAGGTTTAACACTAAATCGCAGCCCTTGCCATCCCATCCTCCCAGACCATCAAAGAGGCTAAAGTTCCAAAAGACACATTTAGGGTTTCCAAGTGTATCATTTAAAATATCAAATGTGAAAGAAATATTATTGATTTGGCCACTGGACTGAACAAGTACAACCCTGCCGTTTATGGAGTTGAGCGATGAATTGGCATCATCTCTTGCAGGTAGTACATTATCTAACGAGTTAAATACTATCATAGTGATTGTTTTGTTATTTCCATTAGACTCTGGTATTTTTATTGTCACTGAAGAATTAAATTCAGCATTGAAAGTGTCTGTGAATGTAGTTCTGTTTAACTGAATAAAGTCTGTCGTAATGTCAAAAGTTGTATTGACAAGATGAGATGTTATTGTTTCAAGGGACTTCAATAATGATGAGCTGACACTTTTAACATCAGTGTTGTTTGAGTTGTTTTTGGTGTCAATGTTCAGAAAGTTCCATGTTGTTCCATTGATGGTGAGAACCCCTGCTGTTTTCAGGACATTCTAAAGTAAAAAGAAAAGCATGATATTATATTAAAAACATTTTCCATTTAAAAAATGTAAAACATCTGCAATCTAATCAACATACCTCCATTGAATCTCTGCTAATTGGAATATTGGAGGATGACAATATGTTGGCTACATTGGTGAGTATTTTCACAGTAGCTTTAATGTTGGCAGGAGATTTAATTACTTCATCAGTTAAACTGACAATGACGTTCCAGAGCTGTTTCAAAAATACTGGCAATGCAGTGGCAGTCAAGAACTGTGAGATTTGGACAGAAGAAAGAACAATGTTACATGTGAACTCTGCTTAATAATTTTATGTATCCTAGTTATTTTACTTTCTTCTAGTTTTCCTGCTGGTTTAAGCACAAATGATACATTTGCTTTAAATCTGTATCACATATGTGGCCTCTGATGCGTTTTTCCTCATTCCCTTTTTAAGGAGAACACTGGACAACACACAGGACTACTGTGCATCGGTATGATATTCATTCATAGATTGATAATATTCTGAGGTTTCAGTTGCAGCTGCATTTGATAAAACCTAACACATAAAAACTATCTTATATTTAGATTACGTACAGCCAATATAATGATATATAATTGTTATTACACATAATTATTTACTAGTCTTGATAGCCAGGGATTGGTTTGCCAGGGCCCCCGATCCTGTTTGCCGCCCGACACACATTGCACCGACCACTAAGGTCCCTCCTGCAGACTGTGGGACCAGAGGAGGACGAGCCCATGTCTCTTTTGCTGGCTGTGCCTGGCCAGGCCCTGTGGACTAAGGTTTGGCCACCAGACATTTGCCTTGGTCTTGGCTCCAGGATGGGGCCCCAGTAACCCTGGGGTGAGTTTTGGTAAGGCTGCAATCCGGCCCCATATAAGCTAAGACAAGACTTAGAGTTTGGTGATAGAAATTATATTTACTGTTTGCTTCCATTAAGCTCTCTTTACGCACTGTTCTTTAACTAATCTGGAGGCTACATAAAGTTTGAAGGTCTATAGCGATTTACTCTGCCAAAAATTAGCGATCAATGCGGTGTCTGGTGACTCTGTGATTTTACCATTTTGTGGCTGAGTTTCTACTGTTGCCAGTCTGTTCCACAAAGTAAGAAAAATCAAAGAATTGATTGTGGACCCTGAAACCAATCAATACTTTTTTCAAACTAGGGGGTTGATGGGGATATTGTGGAGGACTATAAATACCTCAGCATGCACACTGACAATAAACTGGAGTGGTGTTTAACATCTGCTGGACAATACTCAGATTTTTCTATGAATCTGTTGTGGGCAGTCCCATCCCCTTGCATGCTGGACCATTTTAAGGTGGTGTTAGAGAATAGAATGTGGTCTAAGTTAAGGACAGTGCTGGATAATACCTCCCACCAACTCCAGACAGTTGCTGTCAAGGAATGCTGTGTGGCAGGCAGGAGTAGGACCCAAGATGCAGGCACTCAGACTCAAGGGATGAACTCAAAAGGTCAGCTTTATTTGCTGACAGGGGAAAGCATACAAAACTAAACTGGGAAATATAAACTTACACTTGACGGAGAGGCACACGAGGAAACACACAGCTTGAGGGGCGACACGACACTGACTCAGAGAAACACAGGGTTTAAATACATTGGGAAGTAACGAGGGGAATGAGACACAGAAGGAGAGCACAGCTGGGGGAAATGAGAACTGACGAGACAAGGAAGCGTAAACTGAACACATTCACATAAGACACGGACCTTCAAAGTAAAGGAGGAAGTATGACACAGAGACACGAACTTGGCACAGTGGAGACAGCAACTAAGAAACACAGAGACATAAACCATAAGGCAGAGGACTCTAAGAACCGAGAGACACAGAGGGGAACTCAAACATGCAGACACAGACTTACACAGAACAGAGGGGACACAGAGAAGCATGAAGGACAAGGGATCAAAACTAGAAACCATAGAATAACTCACACAAGTACAATAATACAACAATCAAAGAATTAACACTCTGGGTCAGGAGACCCAGTACCCTGACAGTTGCAGATTTAGGGTTTTATTGAAAAAAAATTTTTTTTTTGTTGGCTCAGACCATTACTGTATCTGCTGCTTTGTATTTCCTTAATCTAACCAATGATTTGTGAACTGTTAAATAACCAGAAAGCTAGGTTACCCGGGACTGGTCAAGAAGCTCCTGAACTGGCAACAGGATGCAGTTGTCTTCAACATCTTCAAATTTGGTACTCTCCTTACACACTGCAGTTATTTCTCCCACCTTGTTTGGTTGGGAACAGGGCACTGCAGCTTTGTAGCCTATATATCCTTGGCCAAATGTGTCACTTTTACAGACAGCGTCTATAAAGAAAGTGAAAAAATACCTCAGCAGTTTTAACATGTATTTTACAGTTTGCACATATTAATGCATAATCACATTCATACTTGTGAATATCTGAATGTATTAACTAATACTCACTGTTTGAGGATAACTCTAGTGTTATTGTATTTGTAAATAAAGGCTTGTTTTTTAACTGACAGAGTAATGTCTTTTCTCCTTGTTCACAGCCTTGAGGTGTAGAATAATTATAGCTAATCAAATTTCCAGTACCTAAATAACAACAGTAAAAGTAAGTTTAAAAAAATCAAGATTGAAAAGAGTTATAAAAATAAAATGAAATTATATTAATCAATAATATAAAAAAAGTTGAATATATTTTAGTGAAATGCAAATCACAGATTTGCATTTTGTTCATTTTTGTGTCATGCTTACCTGCTCCAGGAATGTCCGGAAACTCAACCTGATACCCACCACTCACACTGCACTTCAGAGCCACACTTCCTCCAGAACATTGAACATACTGTCTGATTGGTGAGACTGTGGTTGTGGGTTTTGTTTTCAGACTGAATGATGTTGCAGATTTCTGACGAAAAAATGCTTTGTCGTCTGTGTGCACGAGCCGACATTCATACACTCCTGTAGTTAAAAATGAAACGTTCAAATTAAACCAACATTGAAACATTTCAGCAAAACTAGCCTAAAACAATAACGTCTCCCAAATATTCATCTGTTAAATAAAGGACAGTTTGCAAGTTCGCTGTCAAATTAGTTACTCACCTCCAGTTACAATATTTCTTTGCCTCCTGATTGCCACAATATTTCTTAGCTACAATTCTCCAAATATTTTTAAACTTTTTAGCTCTGAAAATGCATTTTCCAAAATAGCTCATACATTTAGAATGACAATGGTTAACCAGTGAACGCAATAACTAACCCAAAATCTTTAAGTTTAGTTTAAAGAAACATTTTGTCAACTAAGTCATTTTTACCAAAGCCACTAGTTTCTTTGACATTGTGTAAAATGGGGTGGTCAAACGTTTTAGATACTTCACTGATACTACCCTGTTTTAGACAGTTGACTCTAAAAGTGAGTTCCTTATCTTATGATTTCCTGAAAGCTATTTCAATGTTTTCACCTGAATGCACATAACTTGAAACTTTGGGTGAAACTTTCGCTGCAATTTGTTTTTTTATAAGCAGGTCAGATTGACTGATGCACTGACAATGATTGTGTCATGGTCCCCGCACCTCGCCAGCTGACAGCAGTCAGGTGCTTTGTTTTGTTTATTCTCCTCTCTTGCCTCTGCTCTCCCTTTCTCTCTCATCCTTTCCCACTCTCTCTTTCTCCTGCCGGGGCGGAGCTCAGTATGGGCACCTGCTCCTGGCCCATGCACCTGGAGATGATCAGCACACCTGCCGCTGATTATGAGAATGGGAGTCCTACTTAAGATGGCGAGTCTGCTCTACTCGTTGCTGGATTGTTGAGCCATCAGCGTCAGTCGTCCTGCACTCTGCAAAGTTTGTTCGTGAGTACGTCTGAACCAGGAGACTAACTGTTTCTCTGTCTGTGTATAGATTTCCCCTGGACCTGTTTTCCCTGTGCACAGTGACTGAGCGTGAGCAAGAGTGATAGGGGAAAGAAGAGGAGCTGTGTGTGGTTGCGAGGGCTGTATGGAAATCTCCCCTCCCTGGACTCCTGCCCCTTTCACTCCCGGACCCTGGAACCCCGGCCCCTTTTCCCCAGACACCGTTGTGTGTGTGTGTGTGTGTGTGTGTGTGTGTGTGTGT